TAATTATACAATAAATAATGATATGTTAAAAACATATGTGACAAGTTGCGAAGAAAGAGAGTTAAGAGTCTCTTGATTTTGAGGTTATTTTTGTGTCAGTTTTATATTGATTAATCGTTTTTTCTTAATTTTGTACCAATAACAACAAAGTATTTATTATATATTTTGAGATGGAAACTCGTAGACTTGAACGTTGATTTGGATTGTTTTGAAAATGTCTGTAAAAGTCAAATAGGCTAGGCTGCGTATACTTGAATGTGATACTAAAATATTCTTAGCCACAAGAAATTTGTTGTTTTTTTATAATAATTTATTATAATCGTCTATAATTATAATCATTTCTTTGGAATTTTGGCCCTCCCCCCGCCTCTTCCCATATAAGACACTATTGCTTACATTAGCTATATTTTATTACTGTGCGTAAGAAGTTGCTTGACACCCCTTCCCTCTTAGTCTTACGTAATTTATGAACGATCTCTTGTGGTGGCGCTGGAAGCTTAACGCCATTTGAGGTGACTGATTTGTAAATACCCACTCGCTGCGCCCGGATGCATTTTGCTGTTTTTTGGATAGAACAATTCATACGTTTCCTCAGTAATAGAATGGATGACTTACATTTTTCGGCTTCTGAAAGTACTGATAATGATAGCAATATTAGCGATGAAGATTTTACTCTCAATTACAGTAGTGATGACAGCGAATCTTCTTGTGAAGAATCTGAAGAGCCTTTACAAAAGCGTTGGAAAAAATTTCGTGACAATTTTTCATGGATAGAAGATGATAATTTCACTCCTACTATCTATGATTTTAATGATAATGAAAAAGGAATTAACGAAGACTGTAATTTTAATTCAGACAGTAGAGCCATTGATATTTGTAAGTATTATTATTCGATTGATGTTATTGAAATGATCTGCGCTATGACAAATTTTTACTGTGACACAAAACTTACTTCACTCAGAGAATCAAACGGTTTGAAAAAAAATTCCAGAATTCTTTTATGGAGAAACTTGTGTCCTTCAGAATTGTATACGTTTTACGCTTTGGTAATTTTATTGGGAATCATAAAAAAACCGTCTGTTGCAATGTACTGGTCAAGCGACCCCTTATTAATTACCCCTACTTTTGGACAATACATGTCATTAAAACAGTTCCAATTAATAAGCAGATTTCTGCATTATTCTGAAGATGATTCTATTGAGAAGTTACGAAAAATCCGCCCATTATTTGAATTAATGATTGAAAAATTTAAAACAGCTTATAGACCGGGAGAAAAAATATGCATTGATGAATCCTTATTGAAATTTAAAGGTCGCTTATCATTTAGGCAATGCAATTTCTCGAAAAGGTCACGATTTGGCATAAAATTATATAAATGCTGTGATTCTGTTAATGGCTATATATATAATTTGTCAGTTTATGTCGGCAAAGACCCCGAAGATGAGAGTAAAATGATTGGAGTTTCGGGGAAAGCTGTTATGAGATTATTAGATGACTTAAGTGGTCAAAGACGTATTATATTTCATGACAATTTGTACAGTTCACCTTTGTTATTTGCAAAATTCTACGAAAAGAAAAACAACCTTGTTGGTACTGTTAGACTCAATCGGAGGTGCATGCCAAATACGAAGGGTAGAAAATTAAATAAGCTCTCACGTGATACAGTGGTTACATTCCACTCAAATACCCTCCTTGCTGTTATTTGGAAAGACAAGAAAGTCGTCAGTATTTTAAGTACAATTCCTGGATCAGAGTTTATCGAAACGACTAAGACGAATCACAAAACTGGCGAAAAAATTAAAAAGCCGAAAGTTGTCGCAATTTATAATAGCAATATGGGAGGTGTCGATAAGTGAGATCAAATAATGAAGCCCTATGAGGTCCAAAAAAAGTGTTACCGCTGGTACCAAAAAATTGCTTTGAATTTATTGGATATGGTAATATTCAATTCTAACGTTCTGTACAACATTTTGCATAATAAAAACCAAATGAGACACTGTGATTTTAGATTGAAACTTGTACGAGAGCTGCTGGAAGAATTTGGAGTTAAGAAACAAAAAGGTACTAATACAAATAGCAAAAATTTTCCGCAGACTCACAAGTTGATAAAAATTGCTAGAAATGATAAGGCTAAACAAAAGCGATCAAGATGTGCAATGTGCTCTCAGAAAAAAAGAAGGACTGACACTACGTGGCTTTGTGCACAATGCAAAAAACCGTTTTGCAAAAGTTGTTTCTCTGACATGCACGAGCAGAGTCAGTAAAAATGTTTTCAGAAGCAATGTTCGAAGAAAATTTGCTCAAAAAAATTTTAATGTATTTATTAATTTTAAGAATTAAAAAAGAAAAAAACAAAAAAAATACAAAAAATAATACAAAAAATACAAAAAAAGGAGCACGAAATCCTATTCTTGCAGCCTCCACGTGTCGTGTTCTGGGTGGAGAATACATTCTCCAGCAAATGCAGAAGGATTTCATACAAATTATCAAATATATTAATTTTTGGAAAAAATTGTCCGCCATATTGGATCCGCCATTTTGAATTTAAAAAATTTGAATAATCTGACTTCAGATTCGTATTCAGCGACCCAAAAAACCCCAGGGTGACGATTTTCAAGCGAATATATTAATTTTTGAAAAGAATTGTCCTCTATTTGGGATCCGCCATTTTAAATTTTGAAAAACGGACACCGGATTCGTGATCAGCGACATCCGAAACCCCCGAGTAACAAGTAACCATAGAAATATTCTTCTGTGATAAATAAAAGCTGAGTATTGTTTTTAAAAATTGTCCTCAAACAGGAACGCCATTTCACGATTTTCGCCACTTCTGGCCAGGCAACGTGGAACGCCATTTGGAACGCCCTGCCAGCGAAGTGGTTAATCAGCGAAAAATATAGTATTTCTATATAAAATATATCTAACGAAACGAAAAAAAAATTATCAGAGAGAATGGTAAAAAATGATAAAGAGAACAAAAGACCAAAACGAAACATACAATCTAAAACTAAAAATTGTTAACGTAAAAAATGTTTCATTAAAATGTTTTAATTTAAGGTTTTATTAATTAATATGAGTTCTGCTTTAAAAATAAAATAAAAAACCAAAAATTGTTATCTAAACTAAAGACTGTTTTATTAAAATGAATTATTAATAACAAGCATCCAAAAGCCCTATATGAAGTATTTTGGTTCAATTTTAGTTAAATAACATTAAAAAATGAAATATTTTACAAACAAATAAAGTTATCGTAATTCAGAACTTACCAATTTAAAGGTAAGCTAATTCCGCATCTAACGAGCCCTATAAGAAGTATTTTGAAAAAGTAGATTGTTAATAAACAATTGCAATGTTAACTAATTGTTTATTAACAATCTACTTATCCAAAATACTTCACATAGGGCTCGTTGGATGCGGAATTACGTTAACTTTCAATTTCTAACTTCAGAATTACGGTAACTTTATTTGTTTGTAAAGTATTTCATTTGTTATAAACATTAATTAATTAATATCTTGAAAACAAAAAACGACATTCTAGTTTTATTTGGAATTGAAAGTAAATATCTTAAGCTTCATTTTGAGGGTAAAAAAAGAAAGAAAAGTGTCCTTTTGATAAATAAAATCAAAAATATTTTTGATTTTCAAAAAAAGGGCAAATTTTGAATTTAAAAAAATAATTTCACCATTCGAAAAAGCAGAAAAAAACTTTTCGAAAACATATAGGTCAAAATTTTGTTCATCCATTTATATAGCACTGAGAAAAATGTTTAGTCAGAGCAACCAAAATTTGGTTGGGCCAACAAAAAACTTTTGTTGGTATTTAAGTAACCAAACTATTTGTTTGAGTTAACCAAAAAATTTGGTTAAATGTTTTTTGTTGACATAACAAAAATGTTTGGTTAACTCAACCAAATTTTTTTTGTTAGGTCAACAAAAATGTTTGTTTGATCAAACAAACAGTTCTTTTTGTAAAATTAAAAATTTTATTCTACCTTATTTCTTTTCTTTTTATCTTTTTTATTTATTTCAATATTTATTTATTATCAATTTGACATTGAATTTATATTTATCCAATTGAAATATTTGAGGACTTTAAAAAATCTCATCTCCGCCTGAGATGATGACGTTTTTATATAAAAAGTAATTTTTGATATTGTTTTTTCAACTTAAATTGTTTAAAAAAATGGTTAAATATTAACAAAAAATTATGATTGTAGTTCCGACGATAACGGTAGATATGTAGAATAAGCCATAAAAATTTTAGCTCAATCGCTGCAAAAGTTTTCTTTTTTAGGATGTTATCGTCGGAACTACAATCATAATTTTTTGTTAATATTTAACCATTTTTTTAAACAATTTAAGTTGAAAAAACAATATCAAAAATTACTTTTCAAGAAAGTATCAAAAATTTCCTTTTTTGATGACCTGAATTGGAGATATCGTGTCCGCCAATCAAAATAATCCATACTAAATAAGGTACTAACCCCTTAAACAAATAAAAATTCAACAAAATATTTTTGAACTGCATTATTTGGCCATATATAACAATCAACTAAATTAACAAATTAAACTATGGAAAAATGTCTTTAAATATTTATTTGAAATTAAACAAATAATTTAAATCACATAAATATTTATCAATTATATAAATATTATGAAGATATTTTACAAATCGTAAATTCAATCACTTTTTTTCATAAAAATTTTTCTAAGACTTAACTAGATGTTCTAGCTGAGTCCAAGTCGGACCAGCCTATGATATATAAACAGGGGCTGCCAAGGTAGAGCCAACAATCATTTTAGGCATACATTGGTGATTTCTACACGGGTTTATAAATACAAGGCTACATTATGAAACTATAACTACGTAAATGAATTAATATTGCTGAATTATTTGAAAGTTGGAATGCTAAAACCACAGGAGACGGCAACCCTATATGTATGCATGAGATCGAGGATGACTTACAGATTCGATTTCCTTCAACTTGTGCAACACATACCTTGAGGGGCACCTTTAAAAAAATTAGTTTATTTTTATTATATTTAATACTTTTTCGTGTTTAATTTATCACAGAAATTATTAAAATAATTACCCAGATAACACAATACGAGTACTATACGAGTACGACGTACTGAAATCTTTTGTGACTTGGTATAACGTACTGTTATTGTACTGGTACAATACTAGTATGATGTACAATATAAAATATTACATACCCTCCCCTTTTTCTTCCCACAAAAGTATTTTAATTATTTTAATTTATTATTGAAAAGAAAATCTGTGGGAGAACTGAAATAATAATAATTCATTTTTAGTTATTTATTTTTATTCAATAATATGATATATATCTTTGCATATATTATATAAAATATGTAACTTGTATTCTCACTTATCTTAAAATATCCGGTGTTTTATATTATTTTAATTACTTAATTTTATTAAATATTAATTGATTATTTGTTTACATTTAAACATTATTTAAAAAGAATTTTAAACTTGATGTTTAAAATTGCTTTGATGTTAAGAAAAACATATTATCACATCCTAACCTATAAATATGTTATATGTATAAGAAAAACTATAACGAAATAACACAATTGAATTTAAAAATATATCAATATGATCAAGACCGAATTTATGAATTTTTCATAATATAAATGTATAAAAAAGATTATAAAAGAAAAGATTTTGATGTTCTTCAATGAAATAACACCATGGCACAAAGCGGCATGTCAAAGTAAAAGAATATAAATCTTATGAAGATCGATAATTTAATATAAATTTAATCTCGGATATTCAAGATAAGTACAGAAGCACAAGTTACAAACGTTAAAACTCTTTTGCTGCATCATAAACCACTTTTTTCACCAACATTTATTGCACCGTTTTCAGTGACGCGTTCATATTTGACAATTGTCAAGAAAGTGAGGTTGGGTTGGCAATAACCAGCAAAGATTCCTAGTACGACGTACCAGTATTATACTTGTATCGTACGAGTATGTTGTGCTTCTTATTTCAGAAGTACGACGTACTGGTATTGTACTAGTGCTATACTTTTATCGAGTAATCATATTTTATAACTCTAACAGTGCGATATACTTTTATTGTACTAGTATCGTACTGGTACGACATATATAATTATTTTGTACTGGTATAAAACTAGTATAATACTAGTACTCCGTACTCGTAAATAACGATTAGTACGCTTGGTTATCTGGGTATATTTAATTCACAATCTTTGTTCAATAAAAACTATTTTTTTGAGTCAAAAGAACTTATCTCTTTAAAGAAGTTTAATTTAAGAAGATATTTAATCTTGTAAAGCAAATTGTTTTCTAATTATTTTAGATAGCAACTATTAACATTACGTCGCTTGCAAGCTGAACTATACTGTTTCGAAAAAGCTGTGAAAAATATTTCAAATGACGTTTGACAATGATACAATTTAGAAATGGAACAATCTTTTCTCTAAATTGAGTTTGTGGACGCTAAGAATATAAAAATAATAAAAGTTACAATTACATGTGATGGACTATACAAATTACCTGCGTTTTTAAATATAAAATGAATAAATATTAAATATTTTTACCTACTTAACGTTTTTCTAATGTTTTCAACTTGAAAGACAAAAGTTCGTCAGTTTCGAAATGGCACCTTTTTCAAACGACATTTCAAATGGCATTATTATTTTCACAATTTTTTCTAAACGGTATGGTTCTACTCCAAATCGACGATAAGTGCTTCAACCTCTGTTTTTTCTATAATGAAAAGTGAAAAATGTTTATTATTAAAATGTGTAACAAGAGTATAGTTACCGGCAAACTTGAAAGTTTAGTATACATTTGCGAAATTCCTAGGCAATTTGAGAAATACATATGAATCCCCAATAGGCCAGTCAATAAAGACAAAAAGTGCCATCACGGAAAAAAAGAAAAAGTAACTTTTACTACTTTAAAAGTAAAATTGGACCTGTCCGAAGTTTCTGCGCATCTCTGGCAACTTTTACTCCAAAAATAGTAAAATTTACTTCAGAAATAGTAAAAATTACTACGGAAACAGTAAAATTTACTACAGAAATAGTCAATTTTACTATTTTTCGAGTAAAAGTTGCCAGAGATGCGCAGAAACTTCGGACAGGTCCAATTTTACTTTTAAAGTAGTAAAAGTTACTTTATTCGTTTTTACATTTTTCTCCGTGATTAAATGTACACAGGCTGTTCCAAACGGATTACGGTAGTTTGGGGGGATAGTATGAAGGCTCCATAGTTTACTCTCGATTTCTGGTTGCGGAAAATGTTATAAATAAACATCAAAGTTGGCGAAAGGTGGTTTTTTTATGCTCGTTGCTTTCCTCTACATTTTAGAGGAAAAAGTTGTTATTAAAAAAGAAAAGTATAAAAAATACCTACAAAATGGTGGATCGAAAGTTAAACTCGGATTATTTGTTTAATAGTTAGTGAATTTAAACCATTAAAAATGGCACTTTTTTAATTTTTTATTAACTTTGTTAATAATAATCTGATTAGAGTAAAACTTTCTGAAAATTTGCCCCTCGCCATACTGAACAAAATGAAAAAACTTGTTATTTGGGGGGATTTGAAGTCGCTGAATCAAAATTTGATATCAGTTTTTAAATTTACATTTGGATTCAGTGACCCCAAAAACTTCCGAATAACAAGTTTCAAGCGAATCCGATAAAATTAAAGAAATTTTGATAGCCATATTTGATCCGCTATTTTTGATTTTTTTGAAATCTGACTTCATTGGTAATCATCAATCCCCAAAATCTCCAAGTAAAATATTTCAAGCGAATTTAATAATTTTTTTAATTTACGTTGTTCCGAACTTTATAAGCAAGAATTATCGTTTCATAGAACTTCATTTTTTAAAATTTATATTTATTAGTTTGAATTCTGATTTAAAGAAAAATTTATTTTGTAAAAAGTGTACTTATTTCGAGAAAAAAGTATTTAAAATCAATGTTTATCATTTTCATGTTCAGTACCGTTCAAAATTTCAGAGACCGTTCAAAACTCTTAATTTTAGTTTATTAATTATTATTTACTGCCTTAATTATTACATTCCCTGTATAAATTAACTCTTATAACTTTCATTCATCTTTAAAAACAATTTTTTTCATTATATTTTGTCAATTTAATAAATATTTTTTAAACAAGCCGAAAATTCACCCAGCTAAGATAACTTTCAGAATATCCAATCTGCCAAGGCGAAATATATTTTCCCTGTGGGCAAAAAACCATGTACGTTCTAAAAACGTTTAAAGAACGTTTTTAGAACGTTTCATGCCCACCAAATAATGTTCTGGAACATTATTTGAACATCCATGTTCTTAAAATGTTCCAGAACATTATTTGGTCGACATGAAACGTTCTAAGAACGTCCTTAAAACGTTTTTAGAACGAACATGGTTTTTTGCCCACAGGGTTACTAAATAAATTATTACTAATATTTTTTAATTAGATAATAGTTAAAACTAATAATATTTTTTAAAAGTAAAGGGATACACAACTTTGACCCGACAAAAAATACGCTTTTTCAACAATTTTTATTGACGAATAGAAATTTTTTTAAGAAAATTAAAATACAGTAGGGTATTATACTACTCTTAAACTATAAAAAAAATATTTGTTTTAATTTCAAAAATTTCGGTCTGACAGATGATATGGCGGAGTGCTTCAAAAATGTATCTCTGTGCGGTGGGTATTATAACTCGGTCCAGATTTGAGCTAGATCAAAAAAAGCCTTAATTTCTGCAGCTCAAAATCTTGCGAAATACTTATCCGTTTTTCAAAAAATCCGTATGTATTTCGCTAGATAATTATATCACAAACAAAATAAGAAAACCAAGAGGGTCGATTGAAATTAATGGCAGCTATAGTGCCTACTGAATTTTAAAATGTAGTTTTGAGAAAAACGTGTTTAAAGTTTTCTTAACAGTTTGGTCATGATTAACAATGATTAAATTAAAAATTACCTCTAATCAGCTAAGCAGAGTCCATATAGCATATCATTTTTATGCCTATGAGAAGTACTTTAAGCAAAAAAAATGTTTTTGATTTTTTTAAATTTCAAAGTGGTGTAACTCCTTAAATAAAAAAATTTTTATATTAATGCAATTATAAAGCAATTATAAATTATAATTATAAATAAAGAGATACTTTATAATTCATTTACATGCTCTAAGATGGCGCACGCTATCCTTGTTTAACGCTTGGATAAAGAGCATGCGGGAATCTTTGTTTTTAATGAAATGTTTAAACTTTAAAGCATGGCAACCGTGATTCCTGAACATTTTTTCATTGTGTTCGCAATAAAATTATCTATATTTCGATATATATTTTATTGGGTAAACAGATGAGCGCAATCGACTTCCTATTCTTTAGGTTTTTTACTTTCGATTGGTATATAATTTATTTGGTAAACAAGTGAGCGTAATAGTGAGAAAAAAATTATAATTATATTGTTATTGAATCATATCCTTAAGCATATTATTCTACACTGAAAGACTTTTCGTTTGAAAAATTAATATGATTTGTTTGAAAATGAGGATAATTCTGTTTTTATGCGATTTAGTCGTATGAATGTATCAGTGTTTAAACCAAATCATACCGAAAATCAGTATGGTCATATTAACTTTCAGTATTATTTGATTAAAAATTGTTACATTTCATACAGCTAAATCGCATAAAAACAGAATTATCCTCATTTTCAAACAAATCATATTAATTTTTCAAACGAAAAGTCTTTCAGTGTAGGCAACCTATTTGCGACATCTTTGTTGACATATTACATTTGATAAAAAAACATTTTCATTTAGTAAACAGATCAGTGAAGACCCAATGGGAAATTGCTAATGGTTACGATTGGCTAAATATTTTGCCATGACTGGTTTTTTCTTGTCTTACTATTGGCACACAATATTAGACCACGAATGAAAAAATCTTGGGATAATCACGACGTTGCCATTCATTGGTAGCCAATAGTTCGACA